ACTATTCCTCATCTCTAATTGTGCTATTTAAGATCAGTATTGACAGCATTCACAGGTCACAGTTGGGCAGACACCTTTCACACAAGAAATAAAACAATTTCATGAAAGATAGGTCACAAAGACCTCAATCTGAATTTTAGTGACCACAACAGACCTGAAAGAGTTTCTTCAATGCTGACTGGATGCAATTGCTGTTACATATAAAGTGTGGAAGTGGACATGCAATTTAGTTTTTCCTGTGTCTGAGAGCACAGTTATTTCCTCCTGTTAACCTAGAAATTACAAGGTTTCTGTGGAGACAAAGAGAAAAATCACACACACATATATAAAAAATGGATTACAAAGCTGGTTACTTCTTGATTAAAGGAGCTAATTTCAGCGTGAGAGAAATTTCATGGGAAGTGAACAGGGCAAGATTGACCTTACTTTTTAAATACAAAAGCATGAAGATGCAGCTTTATTAGCTTCTGTAACATCACTATCACACTGAACAGCCTGTCGGAGAAGACAAATCAAAAAAGCTATCAGCCTGAAGGTGGTCTGAAACAGACCTGTCTGCACCCCTGAGGCTTGAAGTGAAAGTATGATGTCTCTCTACAGACCTTGAATCACTTCTCATGCTACAAACAGTAACACTTCTGTGTTTAACCAGAAGTACAGCATATATTCCAAATCTCTCTCCATCTGTCCTTGCAAGATCTATAAATTGTAGTAAGGTTGCAAGGGTCTGAGTTGGCACAGACTTCGGTCAACTGTATCCATATCCATCCAGTTCAACATGAAAATTGCATGAAAGCCTGAAGAATGAGCACATTGCAGTCAGTGGGGCTGCAGCAACATAAACATGACCCAAATTCAACCAACCAAATTTAGCATAATACTGCAGTGATATTAAAAAGGTCTTTAAAAAACCCCAAACAGTTGTATGTTACAAATAATCTTAAGTACTAAAGGAGTTTCCATTTACCTATGCTTAACATAAAATGTTGCTTAAGATACTACAATTATTTCCTGTTTTAAGTATAGAGAAGCACTGTCGTAGATAAGGACTTTTAACAGCAGTTATTCATAAGTAAAAGTTAGCTTAGAAAGTCCTTAAAAAAATCTGAATACAACTGTTACAGCTAGAAAGTCACAAATTATTTGTAAGTTCTTATAAAGCTTTTTTTGATCTTGTGACTACAATATTTATAGAAATAACTTTTCCTATGTTGTGTAATACAACAGCATGTTACAAATCAGTAAGTGCGGAAGAACTGCACAAGTAAAATCCACTATTTATTGAGCGCAACTGCAGTAACTCCCAACAGGGACTCAGTGATTCAAACAGAACTGGCTCTTGCAGAAAGCACAGCTCCTTTCCCTCCAGAGTGAAGTGGAGTGGTGGTACTGGACCCAGTGGAGAAAGGGAAGAGAGACATCTTCTGGGAAGTCAGAGGTGTTGTCCTCTGTTGGATCACAACAGTTTTTGCTAACTGTGAAAAAGGACCAAAAGACAACCACACCCCACCACCAGCCCACACCTGAATCCATCTTCTGGTTTTTCACCCAGAGCATAGTGCCAGCTGCTGGAAACCAAGCATGCAGGTCTGACCTAGGCAGCTGCCTTAACCTGAGATCCAGCTCCTGACCTGGCCATCCCGGAAGCTCTTTGTTAAGGAATAAGAGCAACTTGCAAGTGGTTGTGTGGGCTGCAAAGAAAAGCAACAGACCTGCAGGTTTGCAAATTTTAAAGAGACAAATACTGTTATAAATTGATCTTGCTCAAAACAACATAATTTGTGTACAAGACTGATAAATCTTCTGAGATGTTACAATAAGTAGCACACAGTCGTAAAAACAGCAAATAGTTGCATTTTCTATACTGCAGTACAGCAACAGAAAACATTAGCTTCTCAAATCACAACCTGCACAACATGTGCCACAGCAGGCAGTGAAAGCAGCCAGCTCACCTGCCCCGTGGGGACACGCTGGAAAAGCAGATATGTGACAGACAGTCAAGGAAAGAGCACCACCAATGACAGTTTATTGTACAGATGATATATTTTTCTCATGTAAGTAAGCTTAATAAAGTAGTAACTGAGTTTTAGCACCTATGATTTAACAGCAGTAGCTATTATGTTAGGATACACTGTTCTCTGTTAAAACTGCCATTACAAAACAGGTAGACCTGTCACTTGAGCAATGACTTGCCAGGGGCTCCGTCTGCAGGTAACCTTTTAGATCCACCTTTCAGTTTCTCACTTCTTTGAGGGAAGCTGCTGTTTTTTCAGTGGAACATCTTGAAGGTTGCAATCATACATAAGTTAAACATGGGCATTAGTGGGCAACATTCAAGTAAAAACAATCCACTTTAACACTCTGAACTTTTTAAAAGGTAAAGGAGCTTACTAATTTTGTGTAGAAAAATTGTCACTCACATGGGAGTGCTGAATGAGAAATTATTTGTTCCATTTGCATTATACAAACTAAAGCTGTCAGCTCTATCAGTGACACCAACAGACTGATCTTTTCTGTAAAGGATCAATCGTGGTGTTGGACAAGGGTTTTCAGAGAGCAAATACATGAATGGAACAGCTAGAGAACGTACAGTACTACTTACTGTATGGACAGCTGGAATTCTTACTAATCTTCGGCTCACCAAAAATAGACAAGTTTTAAAATGGAAATCTAAGGCACACAAAATACCATAATGTTTTGATGTATACTGTATTTTACATAGTCAAGAAGCATAAAACTGCTGGTACAAAACGATGGCATAATATTGGTTTTGTTTTATTATTATTTACAATCCCTTCATATCCTCTATTTGAGCTAATATTAAGCTTTGAACTAAAATTTGCAGCATACCCAGTTTTGTACAAATTTTTACTTAAAATAGGTAAGATACAAAGAATGGGTTCAATTCAATTCAGCCATCCTCTGCCAGCAATGTTTCTGCTAATTTCCACAGGAATCTGTGGAATTGAACCCAAGGTCATTACATAGTGATTGCTACTTCAGACCTTGCTCCTGCAAACACTACAAGCAAATACATGTAAAGAGTCTCATATGTCTACAGCCACATTTGAAGCACCAATGTTCCAACTGACACTATGTGTGAAAAATGCAAGTGAGGGACTTTTCGTACCAAAACTGTAAATATAGCACTTACGATGCACCTCTTCAAGGAAAAAGCACCTTGTCTAGGTTTTAAATAAAGCAGATCTAGACAGTCCATATTCCTCTGTTACAGCACCACTACGTTACAATATTATCAAGTACATTATTAGTATATTTTCACACTGGAAAACTCTGACCTCGACATCCCTTCAGGTTACCTGGCCGGGGAGGACTCCAAGGCAGAGTTAGGTACAGCTTTATCTCTGGGGCCTGATCCTGCAGCTCTCAGTCTCCAGAGGGGTCCTGGCCTGAGCAGACCTCCTAGCTCCAACTGTTCCAAGGGAAGGAGTTGCAGGATGAGGTCTGGTCCTTAGCTAACATCATTTGGTAATTTGTTTAAATAAATAAGGTTAAAAAAAGAAATACATAGGAGAGGAGAATCAGAAAGAATGGGATGCTACAGTATTTAAAAGCAACGGAGTGTCTGGTTTTCCTCTGGTTTAGCAAATACTCGTTTTGTGATATGTCGCTTTCTCAACAGAAATGGAGAACATAAATTTCATCTGTTTGGAAAGAATACAACCCTTTCTACATGAAATGTATAAATCACTTCAAACATTTACAGAACACTTTTGTAAAAAAAATGAACTTAGAAAGCTGGCGAATATTACAGATAGGTTATTCTTCTTGAAAAATTTGCTGTTAAGTATTAGAAATTTCACACTTTTCCAAAACTTCCTTTGTATTTTCCCTAAATTACTGTTTGTTGTTTTTTTTCCCAGAATAAGGCAACTCTACGGGGTATTTTTTTTTTTAAATCCCAAAACAATCCTACCCCTGAGGCATTAGGAGCACTTGGCTGTCATGTTAACTTCTGATGCTCCGAATGAATGAGACTTCTGCACTTATTGCTCAAAGAAATCATAACAAACGCTGCCTTTAAAAAAAACAAATAATATTCCTAACTCCCAATAGCAACACACGTATTGACAAGACATCTCCTAATTTCATGTTTGTACACTCTCTTGAAAACACTAAAATGTTTCTGTATTTTACAACTGTTGTGTATATGCAACATAAAATCTTCAATGAAAAAGGGCAAGTCTAAAAACAATCATATGCTATTAGCATAGATACTGCAGCTGTAACAATATGGAACTCTACACAGCAAGAATAAAATGATTTCTTCTGTAGAGTATGCACAAACCTTAGACAATATGATCCTTATACTATACTATTTCAAGTTAATTTAAAAAATAGAAAGTGCTTTTAAAATATATATTTACAGCTTAAAAACAACTTCCAGCCATCATTACCAATAACTTCACTTGTTACACAATGACAAATCTAGAGAAAAAAACTCATTGGTTTTCTAAAAGATTTATCTGTAATTTGGACTATATAGCAATGGTTGGAAGTTGTTAAAGCAATGGCACCATGAAGTAATAATTCAGCTTATTTTTAAATGTTTGATGTGGTTAAGCACCAAGAGCCGTGTAGAGCTATTACCATATAACTTGATTTAACACCATAAAATGTGAACCTGTTAAAATCCCTATAAATGATTTTTGTAGTAAACAGACTTGATTTAAAGCACCAAAATATAAATTCCTAAAGGTAATAAACTGAATGATTCAATCAAGGTTAATAACCTAAAGAAAATATTTTTTTAGAATGTATTAAATCTATACAACTTTTTTTTTTTGCTTAAAATGTGCTTGAGCACCACCAAATGTTAAAGTCACAGTTTAAGAAGAAATCCCCCCCCTTTTTTTTTACCTCAGCCTTAAAATGGTTGAGATGAGCAAATAGTAAACAACGCAAGGCTTGTTCTTTAACAGCACCTTAAAGAAACACTGTGTAACACTGCACCAAGAGGAGGCATTCGATACAAAAACCTATGCCCAATGGTTGTACGGCCCTGCAACTCGGGTGAGGGCATACGAAGATACTGTTATCACGTTGTCCTTTGTTACAGTCAGTGCTCTGCGTGATGGGATTTGGTTGAACTCGTTGTCTTCATAAAAAATATCTCTGTTTTCATTCATTTGCTTTGTTTTCCTGCTGCTGGAGTTGAGTTCAGTGTTCTCGGTTCCTAATCTTTCTGCTTCTTTTTCCTTTTCTTTCGCCCTCTCGGCCATCTTTGCTTCCCACATGGCTAAACCATGTTTTGGCTCATTTAAATTTTTGTGTTGGTAGAAAACTAAAGAAATTCTGGTGGGGTGATTGCGGTTGGGTTTTTTAATGGGTGTGGTAGCGTGGAGTTCACGTCGGGCACATTCAATTAAGATAGAGCCATGAGAAGGTGCCACAGCCACCCCGCCAATGTCGCCATCCAAAAAATTGTGCTCGCTGTCTGACCACAGTTCCTCAGCTTTTTCTTCCGACTCGGTTGGTTGTCCCAGTGCACTGTTTTGCTTTTCCTCAACACAGTCAAAATCACACATCTGCTCTCCATGGGAGCTGCCCTTTTCCATCGGGCATCCATGGGAACAGTCAGCTTCATTTCCAACAGCATCCTTTGCTGGAGAGCTTTGTGGTACTGACAAATCACCGGTCATCTGTGAAGAAGGAGGGTTGTCTAACTGCAGCTGACAATTCTGTTTGTCTGGCTGATGTTCAAGTATAGTGGGCAGGGAGTCTCTGTGGGCTGGGGGGCCTGGAGCAGTGACCTCTGGAAGGATGGGTGGCGCACCATTCATCTTATCATTCAGCAAAATTCCAGTATAATCTTTGACCGACACATCAAAGTTCTTACAATTAACGTAAGGTGTCACGTGAGGTTGCTTACTACTGCACTCAAAATACCCGTAGGGAACTGAGAAATCTTGTTGAATGTTAGTCACTGCTGTTATGCCAGGCTTATGTTCTAAAGATGAGTAAGGATGTAAACCATCCACCTTAAAAGGGGAGGAAGCTGTATACTGTTTTAATAAAGAACAATTTTTAGTAGTGTTTGAAGCATTTTTGATGGCATAGAGGTGATCAGAAGGCTCCGTTTTTATCCCAGGTTTTAAAGCATCTGTTTTGTTCCCTAAAAAAAATGCACACCACAGGATAAGTACTTTTCCTCACTTAGTTAATAACATACACCTTTTACAATATTTTCATACTGGCTTTCTAATATGTAAGATACACGTGATGACTAGAATTTTTCAAAATTGTTATTCTCAGCTTTTTTAGAGTGTATGACTATGCGTACATACATAATAACCTTGCTGAAGTAATGTCATAATCTTTTCTAGTCAGACTTCTGGTATCTGGAAAGATATTTAACAGGGAGAAGAATAAAATAAACAGGTAGAATAAAAGAACCACTCAGATCTGTTCAGATTCACACAGCCCAATCCACACGCTTCCCAGCAGCTGGCTGCTGGCCTTCAGAACTGCCCAGGCTAGCAGGAACCACTGGGCAATTGTTTTTACACCAATGATGAAATTTAGTCTGTCTGAAATGAAGCCTGTAAAACAATTACAATTCTTGGCTGCCTTGACCTTGTATTAGGATCGAAGAAAAAAGTGTTTATAGATCTTGTCCATAGCAGCAAAAATTTCACTTAATTACAACGATATGTACATTATCAAGTAACTACACAGAAAATTTATTTTAAAAAAAGCAACTGGCAACATACTCCAGGTAAATCCATCCTCACAAAGCTGCATCATGTGATTCAGCTGTCTTCCATCTAATTGCCACACATTATTTCAGAACTTTGTAGAGACATACTTGTTCAATTTATGTCTGCTCCCTAATCAATCTCTAGCCCTGGCACCCCACAGTTGTGCTTGTTTGTGGAACAGTCTCCTCATTCTTATTATGGGCTCAATCCAGAGTCCACTGGAGGAATGGGAAAGAATTCCACCGACATTCATGGGCTTCACATGAAATTGCTTAACATGTATTTTGCTGGCAAACTTAGCAGCCCACAGAACGCTCTCATAAAAGACTGTCAGTGTTCCTTCTTTATTCCATAAATATACAGAATGTTAATTGCTTTACCGAATATAGAAGAACTATTCTGTCTTTTAATAATTTATATAGTGATGGATTAAAAAACATTCTTTCAATAGGAATACAAAAAAGGCAAAGTGGGATAAATTATGGACACAATCATTAGTATGCAAACGCTGAGATCATGGGACATAAGGAAACCGTATCAACTCTTTAGAAAACTTTTCTTATTAAATAAAACTCAAAGCCTTTCCCTCTAGACCATGGCCAAAACCATGACTGATGGTGTATGCCATGGTTATCTCATCCCATCTGATTACATGTTCTCTGTTTTAAATGTTTGAAAACCAAAACCAGTATTCTGAAGTCTTCGTCCTCACAGGCAAATCACGTGCAAACACCAGTTATCAACATCTTTTCCTTACAGTTAAGTGTAGCTGAGTATTCTTTCGTTCTTGCATTAGGATGAAATATAACAGTAGTATCTGACTTGCTCCAGGTACTTCTGGCAGTACTTTATTTGCTGCTTGCCTAAAAAGGGTATTTGGTACTTTTATCCTTCCCTTGGTAAATCTTTCTATCTTTTTAACCTATTTTTCAAACCTTTGTCTTGGTTTATGTTTAAATGGTACGATCAGAATTGAATGCCACTATTAACATGAAAGGATTCTCATTTGAGTAATAGTTTCCTCTAATTTACCATCAGGAGTAACTACTTCCTAGGCTAGTTTCAGCTCCTTTGGCTCACACAACCTTGGATTTTGTATTCATATTCAGCTTAACAATGTCAGCTGGACTAAAATTTTCCATTCCTCAGGACTAGAGCAATACCTGCCACTGGCAAAATGGAAAGAACAATCAATGACTCATCCCCTGTAACCACAAAAAATGTGTGTCCAAGTACAATACTGCAATATTCTAAATCCATAATTGACAGGCCTGTGCATTTCCCTGCGGGTTAGTGGCAGGGCAGCAGTGCTGTGCTAGGGTCTGCACAGTGACACCCAGCCATCCCCCTGTACAGCTGGAACACACAAAGGATGACGTGCATAAATGCTTCAAGTTATTTACCTCATGCAGAGCACAAAACCTTGCCCTTTGCAAGCCTGACCCTCCCCTGCCACTGCTGCCCACCTTAGTGAAGCCTCTTTGAAATGGCTCCTGTGGCCAACCACAGCAGTGTGTGCCAGCACCAGATCTGGGGATTCCAGCACTGACATCTGTTCTGAGGGACTCTGCTATCAAAGTTTCTATGACAAAACCTGCACTTTTATGACAGAAACTAAGTATTTTTATTTACGTTCTTATTTTTCCATCTCTGCACAACTTTCTCACTCATGAAGGTATTTCTTCCTCTGTGACTTATTTTCATCAGCAGCCCTTTTAAATTACTTTACCAAAATACTTCCAAGTCCAAACAAGTTATGTAAGCTGGCTTGTTTACACAGTTACTTTATTATTTTTGCCTGTTCAAGAAATGAAGTTCTGTGTTACAAAGCATATGGCAGAACTCTGGATATGGTGCCATGTGTTAAAAGGAGTGGTTTGCAGATATCAAAGCCATGTTGCTTCATCACTACAATAACATCTACAGGTAGGCTGTTTATAACTATTTCAGCGTTTCAAAACAACTTTCCTGTGAGATCATGCAGTATCAGAATTCCTTCCCAAACCAGAGCCCTCTGATGCTTCCGAGACTTCCAGTCCACCCCAAGCAGGATGGAAGTTATTAATCATTGCTTCAGTGTTATTGTTGGATGTTGTCCTCAGCCTGAAGGAGTGCTTTTCTATTTGTTTCAAAGCCTGGACTGTGTCTCCCAAATTTGCATGTAGATTAACTGCATGTCTGTCCAGTGTTCTGGAGCTGTCAGTGACACTGCTCCTGGTGTTGTTACTCCACCTCACTACATGCCACACATACTGGTTGCTCTAACTAAGCCAAAGACAAAGGCAAGTGCAAATTAGGAAAATACATCAAATTGATTTAATTCCTCCCACCCTCTGAAATGCAGGTGTTCTTCTAAATACATTTAACTGTTAATTCCTCCCCTTACATCTACCCCATCTGGATGCAAAATTGTAGCAGATAAAAGGCAGACGAGCTATGTTTTAATTCCTTTCATTTATTTCTTCCCCTCTAGTCACAGAACCTAAGTCCACGGCTTCCTCCACCTCTTCCCTCTTTTATACTACTCATTACTATGAAGTCTTACAGAATAGTTCTGTACTCTGAGGTACTGGCCCAAAACCTGACCCCAGCTACAGACACATAACGTACCCCCACACAGCTCAGGCAAGTCAGGATTCTGAATTGCACAAACATGCTCCGTGGCAGAAGACTCCGCCATTGTCATGTTGTAACAGAACAGGGCGCACCTTCTACTTCCCTGCTGACACATTCCCTTGCCAATAGTATTCCAAGGAACAATTTGAGAAGCAGTGTCATCTTGGATAAAAGCTCTTTCTTTGCAGCAGTATCCAAGCCAGAGATAAGGAACTAACATTGACTTAGTCTGAGAAAGCCACTGTCTTTCACAGGAAGGGAAGAGCACAGCTCTTGTACTTTCAAATGACAGCGATTCATGTTTGTTATGTAGATAAACATTACTACAACGATATTTCAAGATGATCCTACTGCCATTATTTATTGGAATAAGGGAGCTTGGAAGTATTTTAGTGATGTTAACACACCACCACAAACTTACTTTGGGGCAATAGCCTGTTGTTTTTTTTTCCAGTGCCTAGAGAGAACATTGGCTACAATGACTTGCTCATTAGCCCCTAAAACGCAAAATGCAGAAGTATTTTACAGAACTGAATATCAAGGAGCTTTTCCATCCCTCTGATGGGTAAGAGGCTACACAGTATCAGAAGAGACTGGCAGAATTTAATAAGCACCACTCACCTAAACAATGCAAAGTGTTGCTGAGATTTTCTGGGGCTTCAGTTTTCAGCTTTACTGGCGTTGAGTATTTTTTATCTATTAAGGGCTGCTTTTCACTCGAGGTCCTTCTTGTGTCTGGCTTCTTCTTCTTTGTGGCTCTGAGAGGCTCCGCTAACATTCGTACTTCTCTGGGAAAAGCTGTGAGCACCTGTATGGCTCCGGCTTTGATCTTAGCTTCAAGTCCCTCTTCAGTGCCAAATTCATCTGTTTGTGAAATTTTGTAGAGAGGTAACACATGGAGCTGTTCATCACTTGGAATCACCCCCACTCTCCGGTTGTCTTCCTTCGTTAACGTGCAGACCTGGCGAGAACAAACATTTACAAACACGTCAAATACAAAGTTCTTTAAATATTGAAGGCAGTCATCCTAGACTTCATTGTTCTCTCACATTTGGTGGCCTCAGTGCAATGGGTCTTTCAAACAGAAACATCTGACAAATATTTTGTTTGATTTATGATGATGATGCAGAAAAATCATGGGGTAGGTGAAGAATAAGACCCAAGGCACCTGTCCTGGACAGAAAAATGAAGCTTTGGCTCAACTGACACTATGCACAAATATATGCCAGCCTTGGTAAATTACCTGAGCTGTAAATATACTGTAAATTCCTAAGCATTCAGATTTTTTAAAAAGCATATTTGATGTTCATTTCATTCATTTCAAAGTACCAAAAAAAAATATTTCTGGACAGAACCAGAGGTTTCTATGACATGGAAGTGGTTTTCTGTTTTGTTTTAGCTAGAAAATGACAAACTCCCAAACATTCATATTGTTTTTAGTAAACCTCAGCTCTAACTCTCTCCCTCTATATTCATGCACACTTTCTTAAGTTAACACCCTTCCCCAACTCCAGCTGCCTGCTGTAATGAAGCCACAAGACCCAGTAAATGTTGGGTTTCTCTTAGGCTACTGAACTACTTTTTCTTATTAAATTGTGTTGTGAGATACTGGAGCAGAGAGGAGGATGCTGGTTAGATCTAGTTTGATAAGGACAAAGCAGAAATGTGGAGAAATAGGTTCAAACTTATTGTATCAGTTTTCTTACTATTAATTTTTCCAAATCACTGCTGAACATTTGCAGTACTGCTCATTTTCAGCCCTTCTAGATCTCTGGCCACTATTAATATTAACCCTTCACCTCAAAAGAAGCTCTAAAGACAGCAATGTGCTTGCTACTTCCATTCCATGCCTTCCAAGGGAGGACAGCAGCTCACACGTAGGAGCAGATGTAGGAATCATCACACCATTTACAGTGTTACTGTGTTCACAAGAGACTGCTGCACTCCACAACAACACACTAAGTTACTAGAAAGCCATGCAGCCAAGTCATGGCTTAGTTAAGCTGCTACTTCACAGGGAGTGACTAACTACACACAGACAGGAATCCAAGTGCCATCCAAGGATGAGATGATACTCCCTAAGTGGAAACATTATCATTCCATCATTGTGTAGGCTGAATGTGATGCCTATGATAAAAAGTTAATTCAGTTTTTCAGGAACTTCTCACCATGCCTAACAATCCAGGGGAGAATAACTATTATTATTTAGGGAAAAAAAAACCCACCAAACAGAAATGTGTATTTTATAGCACAGCTTTCACACAAAGGCATCACACAATTAATTCCAGAACAATAAAATCACAGAATCACAAGCTAAAAATCCTAAATCAATAAGGTGGTGGTTAGGGCTTTATAAATAGCTATATGCAAAGCTTGACAGTTGCAGAGCAGCAAAAAGAGGGAACTTAAGGGGCACAGACAAAGGAGAGGAGCTTTTCAGGTGGCATTTTGAGAGGATCAAGAGAAGGGTTCTTAAGGAGGCAAAGTGAAGGGCAGTTAGAAGCTGAGGAGTAGCGCTTACTGCGGTGCTTGCTCCATGCGCACTTACCTCTTCTGGGCAGCCTTGGGACTACGAGGAAGATTTAGAAAAAACAACAAGTTGTTCCATGAGCAGCAAATGATTCCTGGTTCCCTATGGATTTTCCAGCCCCCGTGCTCCCACATGCCCAACCCACCCCAGCACCATTCTCCCTGCTCCCACCAAACCAGCCAACAGAAGCCAGGAGTGGCTGGAGCTCCGTTCCTGCAGCTACTGGGCCAGCAGGATCTCACAAGATATCCTGGGTTGTGGCTGTGAAGACCCTGCTGCCTTCCTCAGCAGAGAAGCTAACCTGCATCCCTCTCCCCACTCAACAGGAAAATGTCACAACTTGGAACAAGAGCTCAACATCTCCAACAACTGTTCAGTTTCTGTAAAGTTCAGAGGAACCTGCTTGAAATTTGCCAACAGATTCCAGGTTATTAGGAAGGGTGAGAGAGGACAGGACACACAGAGAGCACAATTACACATAACTCATGTTCTTAGAAAGTCCAGCACACCCTCCCTTTCTGAATGAAAACCAGAGGCAGTAAATTAGCACGGAGGGGCCTAGATCCCATGTGTTCTCATCAGAAACTACCCGATTCTCACTTGTCTGTTAAAATATTCTGTCCAACCTGTATGTGTCTGGACCCATGCACTAGTCTGAAAAGTGTTCAAATCTTGAGGATTCAATCCACAATCTGCTTTTTTTAAAAACAGAGACCCTCAACCAATTCTAAATTTTCCAGTTCTGAATTTTTATCCACTTCACCAGATACTCTCATGGAAAACTGTTCTTGTGTGTTTACAATATTTACTCTTTTCCATAAAAATATTTACTCTTAACAATGAATTAATCATCTTTCATCTGACTTACAACTAGGCAAAGATAGATTAGCTCTACACTTTCACAATGCTTGGCCCAGGAGAGAGCACACAAGCAGAGACTAAAATCAAAGCTCATATTGGTTTGAAACAAAACTTACTTTAAGCAAAAATTTGCCACTACCACAAAGCCAACACCCTCTTTAGAACAAGAAGGCTAAAGAACTGTTTTGATGACCAAAGAATAAGGGCTGTACTATATTGACAGAACTGTGCTGGAAGTACAGTTGACTCCAACACATGCAATATATTAAAAACTGAGCTAAAATATATAACATTCAGAAATTAATGTATGTTAAAAATCATGTTAAAACTCTGTGAACCAGTATACCTACAGCCTAAATACCATGACAGCAAATGTAATATATGTTAAATCTCAAGGTCAGCATCTCCCCCCATCATATATTTTAATATAAAGAGGGCACAATGGCAGGTGGGTAACTGTAAAGTTCATGTTACATGGAAACCAGCTATAAATCAAGGCCCTAGAGATAAGCTAGTGATTGAAGGCTGAAGCAGCGTAAGCCACCAAATGAGAAACGTCCATCTCAGAAGCCAGGCTAATACTCAAGTCTGTGCAAAATATTTCTTTAAGAAAATGAAAAAGAGAAGCACGGCTGAGAAGTTAAACCCAACATTTGCCATTGGTACTGACACTGTGCTGCAGTCTGACCAAAATTAAACCCGAACATGAGAAAATCATGGGCTCGTTAAAACTCACTTACACATGGAGGCTGCATATCCTGCAACTCTAAATAACTTTTTCCAGAACATGCAGCTAAATCATCCAGGATGCTCAAAAGCCAAAGAAAATGTTGGCCAAATGGTTTGTTTATGTTTCCAGTGTGCTTGGTGATCAAAACCACTACCTATTCTGGGTTTAGTGATGTTATGGTAAACCTTGTGTAGTCGTAAAGATTTTTACTTTGTTTTAAAAAACTGAAAATGCACCCATGAGCTCAGTGGATTTCCCTCCACAGATTTCTAAAGAAACATCTGTAGCTGCACAGCTCCCAGTGCATTATTTTGGGGCTCTTTGATCTGCCTTTGTCCTCTTGAACTTCACATGTAGAAATGATGTAGCCTTTTCCACTGAGTCATAAGACAGATGTTTTAAATTCAAGTTTCAGCAGTCAAACAGCCTTTCTGAACCTGACAGATGGAATTAGGTTTCCTGGGCTGCTCTTCCCTGTGCAGATGGGGAGCAGTGGGCACCACGTGGGACTTGGAGGTACCATCCTTTCTCACCATTACAATCATGAACAACATCAATTTTCCTTCAGAGCTGAGACCAACTTGTGACATTTCCTTGGCCTGAGCAAGCATGCCTAAGTCAGAGCAGGGAACCCCAAGCACATTTTCCTTTTGACCACTACACCTTCCCTGTACCATGTGCTGCAACGTGACCACAGCACACAAACCACTGGCTGGGAGCTCACACATCAGCAGAGCAAGCTTCTCATCTTTCTCCATTTTCCCAGTATAAAGAACAGAAACAAAACCCCTTCCTTTACAGCCCTCTGGGGTTTATTTTTTCTCCTATTTGACATAATCTGAAGGACCCATTTAAGCATCTAGCATTTCTGTACCTCTTAAAGCAAGCTGTGGGCATGGTCTAGAACATAGCCCAACTATTCAGAGAGACAGTGTCATTTATGGCACAGGCCTGGACCTGTACAGAATGACTCGATGAGCTATAACTACAGAGTAACAGTCATTGAAAGAGCAGAGGATTATGGGGTGGTTTTTTTTAAACAAATCAGGAACAGTTTGTTGATGGATTGCTGGTTGACACTACTTAGTTCTGCTGCCAATAATAAATTTTATATTGTAGCTGCCCTTGAAACACAGATTTATCTTCCCTTCTTCCACAGTGCCTGCTACAGACTCTGTGGCACCAACAGTTACACATAATTGCAGCTGGTCTCTCTCCTTCCCCAAGCCCAGCAGAAAGGGCAACATGCCCCATAGGATCAGAAACACCCACATACCCACTAGAGCACTAGCCAAGGCTTAACTAACTATTTTGTTCCAGTCCCTGTAAAAGCCCATATGTCAGTGATTTAAATGGATCCACACAGGTATGAAGGATGTGATCCTGTGCAGTTAACCCAAAAAAAAGCCCAAAATAACTTATATTTCACAAACTCCATTAATAGCTATAAAGTGTTTGTGTGTTGTGTTGCTTATTTGCAGTCTGGCTTTGCATCCACAAGAACCCTGCACCCTAGCATTGCAGTTCTAACTGCATCAGTGGCCCTCAGGAGGATGTCAGAAGATGACAAAAGGGTCTGAGTAAAAACAGACAGTGTATTTATTGACTTAGAGGTTGTTTAAAAACTCGATTCATAGACAGAAATTAATTTTGCTTCTTTCATAAAAACTTGGTAGTTGACACCTCTGTAGAACTGCCAAGTGTTTTCATTCTACTAAAGAGCAAAAAGGGAATATTCATTTTTATTTTTTGCTTTTCTACCAAAAAGCAACTCTGCTCCGTTCAGGGTGTGGTTCTGCTAGCTAGGAGACATGGTCAGCAAATCAAATCCCCCATAGTAATCCCCAGTTCCTGTAAGATGTACTGTTCTATCTTGTATCTACAGATGACATTTCCAAGACCATTTTCTCACACTGTTAACAAAACTGGCAGCCTCTTATATTTTCAGTCACACACTAATAATGAAGCTGATCATCAAAAATGCAAACCCAGAAAAACACATGAATGAATGTGAATGAATGAAGTTCTGGCAGAGACAGAGCAAGGAAATTGTTATTGGCAGCTCATTAGATAATATATTCGTAAACTCCAGGCATATAATTAAACTTATCTGAATTTGTGCCTTTGCCTAGTTTAAATCATTTAAATAGATTCTGGTTTTCCTTTACTGTGGTGTCCTGTGCAGCATTCCTTTCATAGTTGTGGTAAAAGTGATTCACCAACAACTGAAAGGAGAAAATGAAAAGGTGTCACTTACGCCCTGAGAGGTGACAGAGCTGGCAGCATCCACAAGTACCATTTTATACAGTGTTTAACCTTTTAGAGGAACTTCAGATTTTATAAATTAAGATTTTTGTGTCAGAATAAGGAGAAAGGGAAGACATCTTAGCAACACTAACAAGGTACAAGATGACAAGCACACTTTTGTACAGGCTTTAAATTGTATGATGTGAGTATCATTGGAAAAAAATCTCAAACAGAAGACATGAGAAAAATAATAAATAAAATGATAGGTATTTGATGTTTGTAAGGCAGTGCAAATTGTTCTCATTCTATTAATAGCCACATTATCAGAAAACAATCATATATACAAAAGCTGTCACCTCAGAGGTGACACACTTTGACACAGCATTTTACAAAGCATGTCATGGGTAAGATGTAAATGACTCCTACATCATTATTACCAGGGATCTGTAAGAAATGAGTGTATTTTAAACAAGACAAGCAGCCCAAGCAGCTTCTGGAATTAGATCAGAATGCCAGAGGTAGCCAGATACTAGAATCACATGTAGTCACTTCTGTGTGTTCTTACCACTAGTTTTCATGTTATTACCAGATTTGGTTCTAAGCCAAATTAACAACCCTAATTTTGATCATCATCCAACTGACCTAGACTGAAGAAAGCCCAGCATGTCCTGTCACCCTCTTTGCACAACTACAACATGTTTAGCTTTAGGCTTCCAACATGTAGCACCATAATACACACCTGGAGAGAGGAACAGCCAGCAAACTGTGTCCTAGGAATCACACCTGTGGCTTCTAGCCACAAAGGCTGTAGAGACAGACCCTTCTGTGACTCCAAACTCTAAGGCACCTTCCAAATGTCCCAAGGCAAGTATATTAACTGAGTGTTAGCACTTGCAACTATTTCCTATTTACATTTAGCCCTTTGCTACAAATATATTAAAATAAAGATATATAAAATCTAAATAAAGAGAATCAGGTATGCAGTAAGAGTGGGCTATCTGATGAAAAATCAGATTCCAAGGCATAGTTTTCAATACTAATGGTGACTTGATAGTATTCTGCAAGACTTACAAATTGGTAGAACTTGAAAGACAGACAACAATCAGTTCTGGCCTACAAAACATCCTTATGCATGTCATCATTTTCCATGCTGCTTCGGTTTGGAATTATTAGCAAACACACCATGTACAATCCATAGAAAGAAAGTGTCACCACCAGCAAGCTTAGTCTGAAGCTGAAATGACATTGGATGATCACAGATAGCTACAGCCATAGAACTATTCCACAATACATTCTTAAAAGAAGGCTACTTGTCCCTCCAGCCACAACTTAATACTTTTTTGGGATCCAATATGGCAGCATGAGCTCAGTTTCCATTTAATTTTGTCTTTAAGTTAGGATACAATGTTACACTTGAAGTATTATTTTCAGAATACCTAAATTAAATTTAATTTAGATGTATGCAGTTTGTCATGAAAGGGAAGTATCTTTTTCAAATTTGGGATCCTTTTTGAGGTGACTGCACTTACACATGACCTCACTTGTGGCATCTCACTAATATTCTGCCAAGTCCACTTCCAGCTTGTTCGCACCAAATATCTGCATATAACTGGTACT